ACAAATGCTCATATATTTGACATTTGCGGTGTTCAAACACAAATGCTTGAGCTCATGACCTCTTTGGAGAACAACACTTCCTTTACCCACTGATATCACTTGATAAGTTTAAATTTTGATATAATTCTTAAAATAAAATTTCATATTTAATTTGATCAAACACAAACATATATATAATTTAAAAATTATAAAGAGAATAATATTATTATAATAATTATTTTTAATTAAGTTGAAGTGATTAATAAAGTAATATTTGTTTTAGATACTTTTAACATTTTGACAATAAAATTACCCAATCACTCTATTATAGTTGTTGATGCTCAAATCAGTAAATTATAAAAATCACAATTATTATTTTTTTGTCACAAAGATAATTTAGTTCATCCTATAATAATGATTTTTAAAAATAAAAGTTTTGATTGGCTGTAACATGGACAAATAATAGGCCAGATTGGCCCAAGCAGGATTCGATGGACCGTCTGCCATTTTCTTGTCGGGGAGTGGTAGACATTAACATGTCAGACACAAAAAAAAGGTAAACTACAAAAAATACCATCAAATTTTAGTCGTTGTATCGTTTTTATCTTAAGTTTGTTAATTATAATATTAAACTTTGATTTTTGTTTCAATTATATCATTAAGTCGTTAAATCGTTAACAGACAAATCAAAATGATGTCAATTTGGTAAAGTGTCTACGTCGGCAACCGTCATCCATGTCAACAACCATTAACCACGTCATCTAACGATTCAAAGGTTCAATGATATAATTGAAATGAAAATCAAAATTAAGTGCTATAGTTGAAAAATTTAAAAATCTAATGATATAAATGACATAGTACTTAAAGTTCAATGGTATCTGATGTAGTTTACGCAAAAATAAATTAGAGGTCGGTTCGAAAGTAGGCCAAGAACAAAGGAGGAGGTAACCAATAATAGGACAGCACTATTCACTCAGTGCCCCCGTCCTTTCGTCAATTTCATATATTGTCAAACCCTAAAAAATTTGCAGAAGATGGCATGTGAAAACCCACCTGTCCCTATTCATGTCTTTTGTTTTCCTCCTCTGATTATTCCGAGGGAGATACCCACTTTTGATTAAACTCCACAATTATCTTATATTATATTAATTTATTTGATATTATTATTATTATTATTATTAAATAATATGTACTAATAAGGGTTGGTTAAAGTGATAAGTAATTTGATATCGTTTTAAGTCAGATCTCGAGTTTAAGTCTTTCTGTAGATAGAGAATCCCTATTAAGAGATTCACCCGCTAAAATCAGACGTGCGATGTAGATTGATTCAAAAATAAAGCCTTCGAATCGAGAGGGCAACAAAGAGAAAATATCAAGTTTAAGTTTGTGTGCAATGAACCCAGTAATGAAGTCGTGGTCACCATCCTTTGAAGCATCGCCTCATGGAGTTATGCAATGGGGCCGCCACTGCTGTACATAGAAAAATGTTTTTGATTGACCCATGGATTTACCAGGTTTCGCTTCTTCATTTGAGCTTACTCTTCTCGCGAAATTAGGGTTTCCTTGTTCCATTGTTCTTCGTTTCTTGTACGTTTTTTTTTTATGAAATCTCAAAGCCAAATACCCCAATAAATTTCACGTTTGACCGCTTAAATCCAAGTTAAATATATTTACATGCACAAACTAAGCGTTGTCAATAGTAAATAAATTGTTGTTATTCTTCGAGGAGTCGGATTCTCGCACAATAAATGTCAAGAGTATGAACGTTCGATGTCAGATGATTGAGAGTTATCTTTGAGCATATTACTTACTCCAGATTAATCAAAAATAAAAATATATATATAATTACGTGTCTAAGTATTTTTAAACTCAAGAAACTATTTTGGTATCCTTCAATTGTTGGTAAGCCCAAAATTTTCGTATCCTTGCATCTTATCTGTTTTTGGATTATATAGCTAATTAACCCATTGATGCCTTTGATTGATTGAAGCATGCATGAAGAAGAGACCTAACTAGTCGAGTTTTTTTAAATAATTTGAGGTGATTATAAGTTAGTATTTGTTTATAATCTTATTTTGTCATTGATAACGTATATGTATCCTGCAAACGTAATACTCGAACACAATACCTCAATTAAACTATTTGATATTCATTAATTACATAATTGCTTGAACCCATGAACTGAAGGAAAATATTATTCTCTTTTAACTATTAGGGTCGATCAATAGATTTTAATATCGAGATTCTTTTATATTCATTAAATAGCTACCACAAATATCCTGGGGACATTACCCCAAGGATATGGCTGCGTTAGCTCAACGGGGCATGTAATTTCCGTGGAGACAAATGCATGGGAAGACAAGAACTAGACGTAAAGGAAAAATGTCTTGGTTCCAATAATCGACTTGAATCACGGAACTCGGTGGCCTATTCGACTTGTAAATAGTGAATCGGTCTAGTGGGATGAGTTATTAGATCTTTAAGTAAGGTTAAGGGTTCGAATCCTAGCGATTATGAATGGAACAAACTGGATTGAAAATGTTGCTCTTGCCTCTGTAATATTCGATCCAGATTAATCGATTAATATATCAGATACTAATAGTTATAAAAGAAATGACGAAGCATCAGACAAAAAGCAAAACACCAGCATATAATACTATAATATCAAACTTATTCTGTACACACCATCAAACTATATGGTTTAGCCCGTTTTTATTTAATTTTGTCTAGGTTTGATTAACAAGTTAGAAAAAACTATGTTTTAGTCATTTATATTATCGATTTATTATATTTTTAGCCATTGAATCAATAAGTCTTGTTATTTGATGTCGTGGCTCATTGAAAACAATTAATTTTTAATTTATATTCATGAGCTTTAGATAAAATATAAATTTAACCTCGAATTTCAAACAAAGTATCATTTTGGCCTTAAAATTTGACTAAACTCTCCCATCGTCAGCCATTGCCGACTTTTGTCGTTGGTGGTGACTGGACCTTAAAATTTTGAATTCACTCGTTTTGACTTTCTAAATGATAATTCGATGTATGTTTCACTTAAAAATACAATGACATAAACTAGCTAATATAAACTATTGCATGCCACATCATGAACGTGATGAGAGTTAATGATTTAATGGTCAAAATATAATAAATTGATAACGTACATGAGTTAGATGTAACTTTTTAAAATCCGATGGTCAAAACTAGATAAAAATAAAAGTGACCAAACTTGAAAGTTCCTCCCCCCCAACTCTATTGCTTAGGATCTAGTGATCTTTTTGTGTTATTTTAAAGGTCCCCAAAAGCTACTTAAGATAGACCATCTCGTGCCCTAATACAATGTACATATAGGCCTATCATGGAGTTAACATATATAGGAACAACCTAGATTATTGTACATTCATTACCTATGTCAATATATGGAGACAAACACTGTTGTGACAAATCTTCATAATGTCCATTTAGCCAGCTACAGTGACTTAAAACCAGTAGCATGTATGGTGTTTTGGACCCCCCCTCCCATAATAGGGTGATGTATTAGTATACCAACTGGCAACGGAAGAAAGAAACATTAAGATTAAGGACGGACGTAATATTTTATGTTAAGGACATGAACTTACAAATTTAGGGATGCGAAATTATAATATAAATAAAAAAAAATTCAAGATAGGACCGCATAGAAAAATCCAACACGGAAGACAGAAAAAGTAGTCGAAAAAACACAGTAAAAACTACAGTTATCAGAGCTTGGCAATATCTACAAGCACCTTTTGTCCATGTCTCCCAATCGCTACTGGTTGCCATGTGCAGAGCTTTCTCATTTCATGTCCATTTCTTGCCAATGGGTAAGAGCAAAGATCCATCTTGGACCCCACGGCCTAAGGGGACCAGACTTTCGTTTTCAGGACATTAGGGCACATTATCCTATCATTTGAAGAAACCCCAGACTCACTTTCGTCCTATAATTCCCATTATCTATAAGCATAGCCCTAAAATCTTGTAAAAAAAATATGAGATTGTCTGCAGAATGATTCAGTCTGCAGCTATCTTGCCTTGCTTTTGGGGTGAAGTAGAGACTTTTAATGATGATTTGCAGCATAAATTAAGCTGCTAATCAATGTATGTAGACAATTAATTAGGTTTATCAAAGGAGGCAGTGCCACCTAAACAATCACATCATCCATGCATGAAAATCGTATCCTACAAAACTGCTGCAAACTATGGGCATTGAAAGGGGACTAAACATGATTATGTTTTGAAATCAAAGTTAAAGCTTTGGTTAATTAAGAGGGATAGTTCAGTGGGGTTACTTTGGACGAGTACTCCATAATCCATGCAACATGTTTCATTAAATTTAAAAACGTTTTTATTAGGGTTCTCTTTTTAATCTAAATCTCGTTATGTGTAATTTTTTTTATTTGAGCTTTTTTATTAGGGTAAATTATACATTTAGTACCTAAATTATAAATTTTGACTCGTTTTAGTACCTAAACTTTCAAAAAAAATTAAAATCATATCTAACGTTTAGTTTTTGTTTCATTTTAGTACCCGTCATTAAAAACTTAATGTATTTAGTATCTAAACTATCATTTTTGATCCGTTTTAATACTTAAACTTTCATTTCCCCCCCCCCCAAACTTATCATTAAATTTTGAATGGGGAACATTAGGTATGATTTTGAAAAAATTGAAAGTTTAGATGTTAAAACGGATCAGAACTGATAGTTTAGGTACTAAACGCAAAATTTACTCTTTTTATTATTAGTTCTAGCTAATTAAATATATGTGTGTGTATATATATATTAATTGAAAATATCAAAATAATTCAAAATTAACTCAAAAATCATGTCTAAGAAAATTTGAGCATAATAGCAGCAGCAACAACAACTCTAATACGTGAATTTGATTTTAAGATTAAATTTTATTAGTGAATCTTTTTTGTCCAATTATGTATTTAAATTTAGATATTAAATTGAATGGTAAAATTAAATTATAAAAATATATATTGGTTTTGTTATTGTATGAAACAAAAGTCCTTTATTGTATTCAGAAAATTTAAACTTCACAGAAATGGAGAGATGTTCTTTAAGTTGTGAGCCCCTACAAGTTTTACCATCCGTACGGTCCAAAAATGTACATTGTCAATGTCAGAACAGCTGAAAACAAGGACAAATAACAAGTTGCCAGTCGATTTTCTTTACGCTCGCTAAAATATTGCTTTGCTGTAGTATTTCTCTTCCATTTATTTTCCTGGAAAATGAGACGGGAAAATAATATCAGCGCCAGAGGGCTTGATTTTCTCGAATGCAGAAAGTGGAACAACAAGCAAAGGAGGAAGCGTACCGATTGATTTTTTGCAATGGAGGACTGCCTCGTAGATCGAGCTTTCGGAATCACACGACTTTCGCCATTCGTCGGCCGAGTGCGCAACGCTGATCCGAGGGGATGTTCCGGTGGTCGAATATAGCCAGTTCTTCCTCACATGACCTCTTGGATCAACACAATTGGCTCTAGTACCACTCGACTTGCTTCGTTGTAAAACACTTCGGTATAAGGGACGAAGGAAATTGAAGTACTTGGAAAATATCCGCTTGGATAACCTTCGGCACCTTCTCAAAGAAGGGTGACGATTCGTTTTACATCGCGGAACATCGAGGTCCGGCGCACGTGGAGCGGTAGGCAGCGTCGGGGTCGGACCGGAGACGTCGCAGGCCTCTATCTTTTTCGAATTGTTGATGAAGAAAGGCATGACACGACCTTCGGAAAAGAGTTCATCGGCATGGACAAGGGCGAGGGGAGACTGTGAAATGGGGAAATCAAACTTAAAATCATTAGAGTTTCGGAAGAATCTCCTCGAAGGCGGCATCCTCGGGTCCATCTCGATGAACGACGCTTCGTCGTACGCATCGAGCGAACCTCGAAGCGAGCTGTCTACACCATCTAGAGAAGGCTTTAAGTTCACTAACCAACTGTATGAAAAGCTTTCAACGGAGATAGGCTGTGATGAAGTTTCCATGGCCGCCAATGATGAATATTGCAGGGGGAAAAACAGAGGAGAAAGAGCATATTTATATATGATTCTTCCGCAAGAGACAATGGACTTTAATAATTGAAAAGGGAAAAATGGAGAAAAAGACAGACATATTGAACTGAACCCCACAGAAGCACTCATTGTGTCTTGTTGCATCGAACACTTTAACCCCACAATTTCCCTTTCAACATTGCAAAAACAAGTGACCTATAACAAACTTGTAAGAAAGAAAACTAGGGTTCTTGTGCACAGTCCACCTTTTTAAACTAAAGTTAAAACCAAATCGTGTCGTGCACTTCTTATCAGACATGTCTTAAAAACGTTACTCATTGTTACACGTTAATGCAATTTGGTCCTTGAATCAACTGAATAGAAAATGGGATCTGTAAGTTGTATTTGGGGGGCTTTGCATCCACTACCATCTACTTCTAGTGGTCCGGTGAGGCTGGGAAATGATTGTCGTTTTCATTTTCCGGCAATGTACAATAAACAAAGTAAGAAAACAAAGGTTCCCCTTTAGATTTGTCGGAGAATGAAAAGACAGTGACCTAGGTTTTAGGGCCAAAAGCCGAGAATGGAAAGTGACAAGAAACCAACTGGTCCCTACGGTGTATCCTCCTGCAAGACAACAAGCAATGGTTAGAGAATTTTTAAGCATTCATAAAGCAGTTTAAGTTTAAAAAGATGTGAATAAATACAATGAAACAACATTTTTTTTATGCATGACTAACGAAGTGCAGTGAATCCGGGACCTACATTCTTCGAGCTTGGAGTGAGTGTCGGATACAAAGCATGTGTCGAACACGGAATGTTGAGCAAGCTTTTTTTCGAGAAGGATACTCAATCTCGAAATGCATATCAGATGCGAATATGCGTCGAACACGGAATGTTGAACAATTTTACTACGAAAAAAATAAGGATGAAATATATTTTTAGCCTTACCTCATCGGACACTCGTCACCGTTTTCTGCTCGGAATTTGTTTTGCTGAGTTAAGGGATGGATGCATTTTGGCCTTGAGGGACCAAATGCATACCTATTATTTTGGATAAATTTAGTGATGTCCAAGGAAAAACACCTAATATAAGGTTAAGAAAATGCGTTATCGGAAATATTAATATTTTTTTAACATTTTTGGTAGAACACAACATAAAATGTTATTTTTTCTACCGGAAATATTAATATCGAAAATATTCATTTTAGGTAACGAATTTAACATTTCCGGTAGAAAAAAATAACATTTTATGTAGCGAACTACCGGAAATATTAAAAAATATATTAACATTTTCGGTAACGTATTTCCTTAACCTTAATATGATTCAATATATTAAGAGAATAAGAAAAAAATTATATATCCATTTTATTGAAAAAAAGAATGTTAAAATTTTTACCCCATTTTTAAATTTTGATAAAAGCTAAATGTAACTTTATCACTGCACTAACTTGTACCATCATGACTTTTGGATTAAAACAGAATTTTAACATTTTAAGAGGTAATATGTAATTGGGTAAACTACATATTTAGTATCTAAACTATTAGTTTTGGTTCATTTTAGTATTTAAATTTTTATTATTTTCAAAATCATACCTAAATTTTAGTTTTTTGTTTCATTTTAGTATCATATTCAAAATTTAACGTCAATTTTTTAAAAAATTAGAGGTTTAAGTACTAAAACGGATCAAAATTAATAGTTTAAATACTAAAATGTTAAATTTTTAATACCTAAAATGAAAGTTTAGGTAGTAAAACTGTAACATCCGCAATACCGGGTTAGTGACCAAATTGTAGAGTTTCAGAATTTGGTGACTAAAGTATAAGAATGAAAGAATTCAATGATTATTTGAATATATATTGAAGGTTATTTGGTAATTATTAAAGGAAATTAAGGGTAGTATGGTCTTTTCCTTTAAAAGATATTCTTCCCCCCTTTTATAAGAGTGAAAAACGTGGGAAGAGAGCTATCTGGAAGCTTTCTTCTTCTTGCTTTCTCTTCTTCACGTGGGGCTAGCTACAAAAGGTAAGTTTAATTTCAGTTGGTTAATTCTTAAGTTTTAAGCTTAGTTTTGATTCTTTGGGTATTAAATAAGCTTAAGGAAAGCTTATATGGGATTTAAACAATAAGATAAAGGAATTATGAAGAAATTTGCAATATGAGTTTTAAGATGAAATTTTGATATGGTATGGTTGTTGAAGTTTTATGGATGAATTTGACTTGTCATCAATCTAATTAAGAAGTAGGAAGTGTTAGAATTGGAATTAGAACACATGGAAAATTTGGTATGATTTTTGAATCTTATATGGAAGATAGAATTTTGAGTTTAAAGAAGTGATTATGGAGTAGAAATGAGTTTAAGTATGTGTATGAAAGTTAGGAATATTAAAGGGAAGGAAGTATAATGTGTTGAGCTGAAAATGAAGGATTTTCGAGCTCAAAATATGATTTCTGGGCAAGGGGAATCGGTACCCATTCAAGGGGAACCGATACCCCTTCAAACGAACAAGAATTTCCAGTATGTCATGGGGGAACCGATACCCCCATAGGGGGGAACCGATTCCCCCTAAAGGAAAATTGGGAATATGGGTTTAATAAGTTCGTTTAAGTTGCTAGTATCCAATTACAAGGTGTAGGTATCTAATGATTGTCTCGAAATGTACATTTATGTAGATTCTACGCATAAAGAATTCCGGAACGTTTGGCAAGTAAGATTGATCAAGGGGAAAGATAAGAGATTTGAATTGACTAGTGAGGCCAGGTGAGTGCATATTAATTAGTTTATGGTGCTAAATGGAAACAAGACTTGCGACAAGTCTATTTCCTCTGTTAGAATGCATGAATATATGATTATACGTATATGAATGACATGAATTGTATGTATGCATGATTATATGTGTTAACATGCTTTTGAATGTAATGTTATGAGAAGTATGTGCTATGTAATGTATATATATATATGAACATATGTGAAACTGAACTATGTGACTGCATGAGAAAGATATGAGCCATATGACATGATATATGTGAACATGAGAAAACAAAGTATAAGATATGAAATATGTGATCTTATGAGAATATGAAAAGAAGCTATGAGCTTATATGGCATGTGATATGAAAGTGTATATGTGAAATGATATGAAATATATATGTGAAAACAAGTATATGTTATGAGATCAATGATTACACGTACATGTGATACGTGACTGAAAAGAAAAGATATGTGGTTATAAGAGAAAGAATATGAATAAGTAATGTGAACTGTTATAAATGATAATGCCCATGTTATGTGATATGAGAGCTAGGGGTATAGTTGGCATGCCAAGGGTCGAGGGTTTACCTATGTTCTTCGGGACATATGGACTGTTTACCTATGTTCTTCGGGGACATATGGACTGATTACCTATGTTCTTCGGAACATACGGACTGTTTACCTATGTCCTTCGGGACATATGGACTGATTACCTAGGTTCTTCGGAATCTATGGACTGGTCCTTCGGGACATTGATCGAGCTGTGGTGACAGCATATGTGTGCACAACCTCAATGTACTCACATACCTTAAGTTCTCACTAGTGTACATGGGCTAATAAAGTGATTAACCAAGCATACTGAATGTGATATGTATACGATGGGTTTATAAGTGGTTTGAAAATGTATGTGATTATATGATAAACTGTTAATGATGAATTATGTGTATGTATGTATTTACTGAAATTAATATGATATGATTTTGTACGATATGAAAAATGCATGGAATTGCTATAACATGATAGAACAGAACATGCATGTATCGATATATGTTATAGAGTGCATTATAAGTTGTTATGCCTCACTAAGTCTTCGACTTAGCGTGTGATTGTTTCACACGTAGGTTTCGAGAAGAGTAAAGAGTAATGCGGAGCAAGACAGGTCAGTTTCCTTACCAAATGTCAGATCAGAAAATGTATGTACTGTTTACAAAGTGTAGTTGGCATGTAGTCTAAAGATATAAATGGTATGAACTCTGATATCTGTTGTAAACGTTTTGAAATAATTTAAATGTTATCAAAGTTTTTAAATTACCCACGATTTTATACGAATACATGTTTAAAAAGTCAATGTGACACTTCGGACTCGTATCCGGGTCGGATACGGGTTGGGGGTGTTACAAAAACGATCAAAACAAATAGTTTATGCATTAAATACGTAGTTTACCTTATATAATTTTTTTCATATATATGTTTAGATTTTTCCTTAGTTATTCACAACATAATTGACCTAAAATAAAACAAAAACGAAACTTTATGTATGGTTTTGAAAAAAACTCAAAGTTTAGATATTAAAACTGATAGTTTATGTACTAAATGTATAACTTATCTTATATAATTTTATCATATATATATATATATATATATATATGTTTTGAATATTTTTTAGTCATTCACAACGTACATTGACCTTGCATACAAACCTAATCAAACCCGAATAGTCTAGGAAGAATAACATTTTCTTTCACCACCGAAGGATTCAAACCTCTGTTTTGAAAATCGGACCGGACCGGCCGGTTCAACCGGGAACCGTTGCTTCGTCCGGTTCAATCTAAACCGGTTGAACCGCTATTAGTGAACCGGCAAGAATCGCTGAACCGTTCGAACCAGACCGGCTGAAAACCGAAAAAAACCGGGATTTTTGTTTTTTTTTAAAAAAAATTAAACCAAACAACGTCGTTTGTTAAACGAGTTAAGTCGAACTCGAGTATTGATGAGCTCGACTCGAACTTGAAAACTTTAAAAGTAAGCTCAACTTAACTCAAACTCACAAGCTAAAAATTATCAAGTTCAACTCAAACTCGAAATATAATATTGAAACTTGAACTCAAAAAGGCTTGAACTCAAAAAAAAATTAGAAGCTCGATTGAAGCCTAAAATTCGAGCTTGATTGAAGTGAAATAATAGTTATATAATCATAGTTATATAATTTTGTTATGATTTTTTAACCCCAAATTTATTTTTTAATTATAGTTATATAATT